CAGCCTGCGCTAGGTGGCCCGGCTTCGGGAGGGGGCTGGGCTGGATGATCCCCCCAGGTCCCTTCCAAGCCCTGCCATTCTGTGATTTCTACAGGTAACAAACAACTCCCTCCCCACTGCGATGTAAAATCGTCATAGGTCCTGAAGACAGAGGTAGGAATATTCCAAGAAATAACAAACAAATCTACACAAGCATCTTCCCTCCTTTTCCACAGCCATGATTTAGTACTGAAAAGAACGAATCTGGCAAATGCATTCAGAACCATGGGAAGGAGAGAATACAGGTCTGGATTCAGCACAGGAACCTCTGCATCTCCCTGAAGTCACGCAGAAGTAGCTTTGGGAAAAACCGTAACTAGCACTATCTCACTGCCTCTACGTAGACGGCAAAGGCTTAAGTCGGACCACAAACCGCAACAGGGGCTGGTCCAGGACAGCCTGTCTGATGCTTCTGCGTTTCACCCTCCTATAGCTCAAGGACTCAAGCTCTCAGCGAAGCAGACCTCATCCTAGACAATGGTGGCCCCTGAGAAATAAGAACCATAGTCTTCGAAGAAAAAAAATAATATAAAATATATAAAGAATATTATCAGAAAATTTGCCCACATTTTTGACCGTACTGCAGCGTAAATGGTATGGGAATACTGTAGGTGCCATATATTGGGACTTCCAATGCTCTCATAAAGCCTTACTTCAAAATTAATTTCTCAGCTTGATAGATGTGCTCATGCAGATTTAAAACTAAACATTTAGTCTTGGTACAAACAGTAATACATCAGCTATGCTGAAGTAGCCAGTGGAATGCTGCAAGGAGTGTATTAGATTAAGTACTATTTGATATTTGATGACAGAATCATTAACAGCACATTAACAAAGCCTGCAGATGACTTATATTGGAAACAGAGACAGGCAGGCTGGACACAAACAGCAAGACTCATGTGAAAGCTAACATATATGGGGAAAAATAATTAGAAAGAGTAAACTTTGAGTTGGCAGGAGAAACCCAAGAGGCAGTAACTGTAATTTAAAATGACAGTGTGTATGAGATGCGAAATTAAACATCAATATTTGCTAGACACTAGAAAGGACAGCAATTTGATACAGATCAGATTGGGCTCTCTAGGACATCAGCAGTAGACAGCACCAGCCCTTTCTCTGCATTCTGGGTGTCGTACAAGTAGCTACATGGCAGAATTCAGAAATGCACAAAGGCAAACAAGATACAGAAATTAGGTTTTAGAGGGCACACTAGGGAGTCCAGCTTGGGAGACAGTCCGTAGTAACAAAACTGGTTAGCATGGTATCACTAACAACAAAATGTAAAGAAAAATGGAAAAAAGCGTGGTCAAAACACAGGGAAACAGTAAAGTCAGCGCTATTGACTTGTACAACAGTTCCTTTGGTAGTGAAGGAAGCTTAAACTCTTGGTACTTTAACAGCTCAGCTAAGCAGCTTGGAAGGACATTATGGAAGTGCTGCACTTGAAGAAATGAACAATACAACACCACATTCTTTCTCCCAGTTTCACATGGTCTATATTAAGACTCAGCCTTATTAATCTTCTCTCTAACAAAAAACAAATATTGATTCATAGCTATAGAAAATATGGTGAAAGTTTTAACAACTAGAAATCCTTATACCTTGACACTTCAGAACAAGTTAGCTGTGTTATCAAGACGTCCCATTACGATCCCTTCCAAAACTTCTTGTGATCGTCTCTTGCAGCCACGGCCAATATTGCAGGCAGCATACAGAGCAAACAGACACTATTTTGGACACTTTGCTTATCTTTCCTCTCTGCACCACCCCCAGAAGAGAAAAATCATAGTTTCGTCCTCTCAGTAACAACAGAGCCAAAAGTATCATTACGGAATTGATGAATTCGACTTCTCTTAAATCTGTATGTGTGGTGTTGCGAGACAATGGAGGAGAACAGAAATAAAATGGAAGAAATGCATTAAAATAATTTGTGAAGCTATTGTCAAACTGCATTTGGGCTGGTGTTATCTAAAATTTAAAAAAACACCAAACTAAATAGACCCCGTAGCTATTTAGGCACACAGGTCTCATGCAACTCATGGACTGACTGAGTAATGACATCTCACTGCTGCAAGACATTTACTTTTAGAAGCTTTGGCACTTAGAAAATTATGCTGCCATGTGTGCCTGGCACCCGAACATCACCTGCTGTAAGCTAACCATAAACCTGCCAAACCGGTGGGCACTAACTACTCAGTTCCCAAACAACTACACCAAGTAGCCACTCATCATTTTACAGATCAGGATAAATGTTTTTAATGAAGCAAAAACTGTGGTCATAAGACAGATCACAAGTAACTGGAGGTGGGTGGTTAGAAGGGGGGACACGGGGTCATATTCCTACTGTTGGAAATATTTACTTAATTATATAAGAAACTATATAAGACATTATAGAGAAGCTATATAGGGACAAAATATATAGTCACAGCATCCAACAGTGCTTGAGGAGCAACTTAACTAACTTTCTCACTTCTCTTTCATCAAGTTCCGCCTGGATTTTGTTTGCACACAATATTCCACCTTAAACCACTACGAAGTCTCTGGGCAAGAACACTAAATAGTGTCCTACTGACAAAGCAGGTTCAGTTCAGAAACAGGCAGAGAAATTCCCTAGAATAGTTTGTGAGGTGATTAAAGAGACTTATGAATAAAAAGTGCTAACAACGTATGGAAGCCATTATGAGGTTGAAAGATTTATAAGAAAGCCCAGAGAAGCTTTTTATCATATGATAAAAATAGTAAGATCACAGATCAAATCCAAGAATCAGGTTGCACACATCAGGTACCAAATTATAGTCACCAACTACAGAACAAGTTGCTTCAAACTCATTTGTCTTTTTAAAGAGTTATGAGAAAAGACAACGTATCTCAGACTTGTCTGTTTCAGATATCTGATTGATTACACAAGTTAAAGTGCCTTTTTAAAAAAAAAAAAAACCAAACTCTGCAACATTCATTTCTCAATCACATTTTTTTCCTTTCTTTATTGCAAGAGAAAAATATTACAGAAATATACATATACTTTTTCCATTTATGTTCTGGCCATATCTTCCCATTATTTGGTTCTCTCACTGCACTGATCTCAACAGTAGGTCTAAAATAAAGGCATCTTAAACAGAAGACTGTGTGAATCCAGAAACGTCTGCAGTCAGAAAGCTCCATTAATCAGCTGAACAAAGGCAGTTAAAAGATCAGCGATGCAGATACGTACATCTACTGCAAATGCACCAAAATGAGGCAACAGGAGACTTTATGGAAATGAACTCAAAGTCAGTGACAGTGTTGAGTATCTGTACTAGAATCTTAACATCCACAAAATTTAATTTCACTATATCATGCAGGATATAGATATTTTTTTCAAACTGAAGAACTGACAGCTGTCCAAAAGCTCCTTCTTAAGGAGGGAGGAGAGAGTAAAATTAAGAAGCCACACGACAACAAATCTAAATAAATGGAAGTCATTTAGTACCAATTTTATTCTGCACCAGAAAGAAACATGCTGAAAAATACGGTAGTTACTAATGAAATTTACACCAGGAGACAGTCCAGTTGTCTCCGGTGGCTCTATTAATAGGACTGTGCTATAGAAGAATTTTCCTGTCTTTCAAACACACATGAATATGAACAATTAACTACTTGTTTGCACACACCAAAAAAAAAAATCTTAAATTTCTCATCACAAAAAGAAATCAGCCTTTGCAGGTTCAAAGAGCTTTTATATGGGTTCAACTACTTTTCATTTTCATCCTCGGGCATGTGTTTCTTTGAATCATTCCTACCTGCTTCCTTTGCTAAATCTAGTGAAGTGAGACACAGATGAAGGAATCAATAGTCGTGTTGTTTATGGTGAAGCTCCTGTCAAGCTTCAGTATTTTTGGATAAAATGACTACTGCTGCACTGAAGAGATATCAAAAAAGCTTTGCCTGCTATGACAATTCTGCCACACAGCCAAATCTCATCTCAATGTCACATTACTTTTTTCCCAAGGTATGGTTGAACCAGAGGGACTTATTTGGACTTGAATCTACAATAGAAAATATTAAAATTTATCAATAAGGAGCTAGTTTTGCTGCATGTTTTCCCCAATGGCACTACAGCACTGAGAACACAGCAAGACATCATACTCATTGTTAAAATTGAATATCTGATTTAACCAATCCTCATGCAGTATAACTATGTAGATCCATATCACGTATACATCACAGTCTATTCATACATACACCAAGAAGCACATTAAAAGACAATGATGCTTGGCAGCTAAACAGTAATTTTGACATGCCCAGATCTGATTGCTTCTTTTTCATTTGTGTACGTGCCTACAGGAAAGCCATGAATTGATATGGGTGTCCATGCTTTTTGCTAAATTTTAAGCAATCTTAACAGCTACATCTTACATACTAAACTGCTTACAATTAAAAGCGGTTTAGTAACTCCACCTGTTTACTCTTTCTCCGCCTTTGAACATCTCTTGTTTCGGTAACTGTTTTGTTAGTGCTGTATCCATCACCTTGCAGAGAAGGGACAAGAGGGATGCTGAACTGGCAGAGGAAAGTGTAATGAACCTAAACCTACTCCTCACTAGCAACTAGAACAGAGTCAAACAGGCTGGAAGCACCCCAGATGAAGTGCCCAATGTCATGTAACATGCTGCACTGTTTCTCCCCTGGAGATGGACACTCTCTTTGAGAGCCAGCTAGTGCACCACACTCCACCCCTTCTGAGTTTAGAGTGCACTGACCTACCAGCAGCAGCTACTGTGTGCGGGTTTTTGGTTGTTTCTGGGGTGTTTTTGTTTTGGTGGGTTTTTTTTTTTGAAACTATCTGAATTTTTTTGAAATATCTTACCTTACAGATTTATAGAGGCAAACATCTAACCTATACTGACACGTAACTATATTTTGTATGTACTTTTTAGAATTTAGAACTGTTTTCATAATGGAAAGAGAGCTGTAACACTAAATTTTTTGTTTAGAAATAAGCTTCCATCTCTACTCAGCCAGGTATCTCTTATGTGTCTGGCCTCATTGGCAGAGAAGTACATGCCAACATAAGTTAACACAACATTCTGTAAAATAATAAAAATCAATAAATTAGTTATGCAACACATACATGGAAAAGAGGATGATGTAAAGTAGCATTAACAACCCTCTGAATATTATGATAGTTTAGCTTCATGATTATTTTTTTAGATTAGAAAGTACGATACTCAAAAAAAAAACCTGTAGTTTTCAAGTCTCCTCTCAGCCTAGACATAATCTTTTTCCTAACAAAATGACTTGAAGTATTCAAAATAGTGACTGAATGCCCTAAAATTCAGTGCTTTTAAAATGCACTTACTGAGCATGTTCAGACAAAAGCTGTCACTACAAAAATATTACTAATATTGAAGTGTAAAAAGACTTACTGTTAGCCAAGTTTCAAACGGGCCATGTTTCAAGTCGATTTCCTATGACCAGACTATTTGATTTAGTCATAAACAAAGTTTGAGGGTGTTTTTTTTTAAACCTGCTAACCAAACCGAATCATCCATGAGAAGTAATGTATGAGACAGGGAGAATACTTTCACTCATCCCAAAATTTAAGAAGTTCACTCCTATGAAGCAAATAAGATACCTTTATGCAACCTTAACTGAAAACTTCTGTCCTCGAGGTTTTAAAAGGTTTAAGGGGTGAGCAAGAGAGAGAGAAAAGTCAGCCAAAGTAATAATGCAATTTGCTGAAGATGAGTACAGCGAAAGGACATTTACAAAGAGTAATATCGATAATTGTAACCGCAATATCAAAGTTCTGTCCAAGTTTGGCAATTTCGTGTAGAAGCATCTTGAACACAAACAAGCTTACTTGCGTGTTTGTCTGCCAACACAATAAGTGTACTTGATATGTCTCTTCTTCTGTAGAAACATACCACCTTTGCTTCCACATTTCCATTGGCAGTCTGAAACAGGAAAAAAAGAAAACAAATGAGCCCTAAAGAACAGAACTGTATGCACTGAACTAGAAAACTTCATGAACAATTTGGAATTTTGCACAAGAGCTACATAGCATCACCTTTTAGCACCCTCCATGAGATACACTCCAGCTGCACACACATTATCTAACACACAAACTCCGGTCTGATCCATTCCAGGGTAGGGAAACAGAGCTTGGCCCTTCCCTCCTGACTGTTTCTGTGGGATCACCATTTTTGCATTTGCAGATGTCTCAAGGGGTGGGAAAAAATACTTACCTCTAGTTACAATATATTAACAAGCAACTTTGCTACTTTTCAGGTGATGCCTACATTTAGTAGAATTCAAAAGCATCCTTAAAATCCTAATAAAAACAACTGTGAAACAGAGCAACAAAATTCAGGTTCAGGCTGTTCTCCAAACTCTGCAGGACAGTAGGAAAGCAAGAAAGAACCCAGCCATTATTACTTTCACAGAAGAAATCACATAAGGTTTTCTTTCTCTGACAGCACTGGTGAGCTAAACAATGACTAACACAAAAAAGCCATTCCAAAAGGAGATCCGAGAAAGCTGCAGCAGGCAATAAACTCTACCCCTGTGACAATACACAAAAAAGTCTGAATTTTTGAAACGTTTGGAATTTTTCTTTTTCTTCAAACTCTTCAAATGAGGTAGGTGGCAAATGTCCTGTAAGATGGTATCGGCCAAACTGTGAAACTGGCTTTATGCAAACTCTAGGGGAAATACACCTTCAGGTTTGTAACAGCCTCAGCTAACCTACTGTCTCTAAAACAAATCAACAAATAATGAAAATGTAACCGAAAATAATTGTATCCTACTACTGAAGAGTCCCTGAAGACCACAGTGATGACACACAGTTTAAGAAACTAGAATTTCCCTCTGGGAAATCTGCAACAAAGGTAGTGGTCCAGCAATCTGTCCACAAGGAAACACAATAAAAACATGCTGCTTGTTGAGATGTGAATGGAGGAAAAGTTTCATATTTTATAATGCAAATTTTCCTAACAATCAGACAATACATACATGCACAAATACTTCCCCTTGCAGCCTACTAGTTTTTGATACAGACCCTGCAGAATTTCTATCCTTTTCTGTTAAATAATTCAGAAATTTTAAATTTTGCAGAACTAAAATACAAAAGGAGGAGCCATCTTTTTAAAAACACAGCTCCAATGTAGAATTATTTATTTCATTTAATTGCCCAGGCTTTGTTTACACTCAGTGAAAAAAAGGCAACACAGGATATACGATTCATTTCAACCTGAAAGACCCGTTTCAAAGAGTAGGTCAGAGAAATTACGGCTCAAGCAGGAGTTGCACTCAGATGAGAGATCCAGGCTGGAAGTTCTTTTTTCAACAAGTGGGGAAAAATGAAGCGGGAAAAGAACAGTAAAAATCTCTTTCCTAGAAAGTGATTAAGGAATTTGCACCCTGTAACTGATGGCATACAGCTACTGATACCTCATGGCTATGGACCCGCTAAGAACACTTTAGGAACTCTATTATAGTTTCCTTAACGGAATGGAGAAAAGTATTTCTGGAAAAGACCTCCACTAAAAAGACAGGGTTACAAGGATGTTCTAGTCTTCAGATTCTTTACTTGTCATATATTAATAAATATTCTCTTCCAAGTAACTGCCTTAGAAAGATGTGTTTTTCCATCACTGGTGGCCCAAGAAAAAGACCTAATTTTAGTCAGTTAAATTCAAATCCAAACCAGCAATGTTACATTCCTTCTCTATGGGCTGCAGTGGACATGCTGGTATTAAACCTGAGAGAGTGGCTTGTTCAGGACACATCTAACAGCTTCAGAACAGTCTTCCCTACTCAACTAGGTAAAATTTCAGCATCGAGGACTTCAGCTGGCTTCCCACATACCAGCTATCGCGCTTCCATTTTAGACACAATGAAAGTGAAATCTGGCAGACGAAATAATACACTGGCCCAAAGGACAACCAGCAAATATAAAGTCTGAGGAAGCAGGTAATAGCTCCAAACCTTCCTGTTGAGCAAGAGCCTCCCCCAAGAAAGATCAAACTACAGAGCTCTCCATCCTCTAGGCAAACTGTTATTTTATCTTCGTATCACATGTTCCTGGCAGGGAACTGAAGAAATGCAGAAACCTCCTGCCCTACAGATGGGCATACTCACCTTGAGAATGACCCGTCGTTGACACTCAGCCCTTTCATACCAAAGGAGAACAATCTAGCACATCTCAAAGCATTCCAGAAAAATACCAGAATAAGAGTATTTTTAAGCTTCTGATTACCAGAAAACTGCTACAGAATTGTTTTGATTTTAATCAAATCAAACAGGTGATAAATTCAATTAACTTAAAAGATTTGAAGGAAAAATTTGCCTACCTTATTGAGCTCTTCTATTCTTCGTATCAAATACGGGTTGCTTGAAGAATTTTCGAAGTAGACATAATCTGACAAAAAGAAAAAAAGACTCTTTAAAATACAAACTGCTCAGAATCGAATCAAAACCTCACATGTAGACCTGTTAAAGTCACCATACCAAATGCACTTCCTGGCACAAACAGTATTTCAAATGTTCCTGCTAAATCCAGGATTTTAGGCGAGGAAATGCAAAATCCATGCCAGTATAAAAAACATATATTAGAGCAATCGGAAGGCTATAAACTCACTTTGCGGGGGGGAGGGGGGGTGGGGGAGGGGGGGAATATGGAGCTCTGTTATCAGCCTGGAAAGCAAAGTGTAAGATCTTCCTTCTCTCTCTGTTCAGATTACTTCCACTTTGATCACACTGTTTACTTGCTTCCTCTTCTTTCGTATTGCATTCTTCCGTATAGTTTCATTCTTTTTTTTCCTATCTTACCTTTTCCTCTACTTCCTGATCTTTTACATCTACATTATCCTAGAATACGCTCAACAAAATTCCATATAGTAAGCCAAACAGGTCAGTAATGCTCATATTTCCAAGCAGGAGTCTTATGTTACAGGAAGAAAGTTAGTTATTTACTCAGGGCAGTGCCTTCAAAAAAATGAGAGCAGCATCAAGGAGTGCCATACGAGTAATTTGGTACCACTGAGCTCCAATCTTAAACACTCTTTTTTACAGGTAAGGAAACAGAAGCTCAGGAGTCCCGAATGGATTTGACCTTTCTCTCCCAATCCTCCAAAGGCCAAACCCTAAGCCTTGAATGTGGCAAAAAGAGGGCTGAATTCACCTCCCCGCCGCAGGCACCCACCCTCGGGTGCTGACCTTGCATGCAGATCTAACGATTCCTTCCAAGACTATCTACTAAATTTAAGAGGATTTCCCTCCAGATTTCCCAGCTCACCCATAGCCGCAGGCACCCACCCTCGGGTGCTGACCTTGCATGGAGATCTAACAACGATTCCTTCCAAGACTATCTACTAAATTTAAGAGGATTTCCCTCCAGATTTCCCAGCTCACCCATAGCCCCTAGGCAGGACTCAGGCAATCTGCAGGGAACATATTAGCATGGCACTCCACCGCTGAATAGGCGTTTAGTGGTGCCAGCCTATTGTAAATAAGGACAACTACTGAAGCTGTTAGCCTCAATCTGCCCGAAATACTTGTTAAAAGGGCAGTTGATAGCAGAGATACCAAAGGAAGGCAGACATCCCCCCACAGGGCTCCTCAAAAGCTGCACTGTGAGGGTCAGGGAAACACCCGAGCATCCACTCATCACACCCTACAGCAGCCCTTCCAAGTCGCCATGTACCACACCGATTTTTTCAGACTGTGGCTTAGAGCTCTGGTGACCCACCACCAGCCCTGGAGCAAGCAGGTCAAGGTGCTTGCCACAAGAGCCCAGCAGCGAGCGCTGGGCAAGTGACCCAGCAGGTCCTGCAGCCCGCACACAACTCCAGCACCCTGGGGTCCCTTCAGCAGGGCCAAGCTGCCCAAGCAGAGAGCACGGTCACAAGGCAACAATCCCAGGGGTTACAAACCCCCAAAATGGTTTCCAAGCTCTTCTTTCCAAAAAACGTGTCATACACCATGAGTTGCAAAGACACCTTGACAATGGAGTCTCAGGGTGGTCTTAGTTGGAGTGACAAGTGACGAGGTTGCAATGTCAATATGCAAACAGTGCACATCTTGGGTTATTCAACCATACATAGTGCAACCAGGGCTAATAAAGCACAGAAATACTACACCCATTTTTTTATTTCTATGCATTCCATGCTCCAGACCTCTCAGACTGCTCATCAGGTATCTTCACACACACTAACACACATCTGAGTGACTTCTTCCTGACTGCAAGAGTCTGTTCCTCCTAAACATCACTTCCCTGCAGGCTTTCGACTGAAGAACAATCTCACCTAAGGAACTCGGACTGGACATTCGGTTTGTAGAAAAACAAAGTCTGCAGAAATGGTTAAAACACCCAAGTAACCAGATCCCAAATCTCCACCCCCAAGCACCCACTCTGTACAGCGCACCAAATGGGAAACAACAGGCTCAACATCACTCTGACCAACTCTACCAGAAGTCACAACACCAAACAGATCTTTGGCTGCTTCAGCAGTCACAATTGCTGACTGAAATAACGACAACAGGCATTAAGCATTTTACAGATCAGCAAAGAGAAGCCTTTTCTCCCACAGCAGAACCACCTATGCCCTATCAAGGTGCTGCTGCAGTGGAGAACGTGGAAGCTTTGAGGTGCCTCCAAGCTCACTAGCCACCTCTCCAGTCAAGGCTTCATCAGCTGAAGAAAGGACAACTTCTTTCCCTCCATCCCTTTCATTACTCCCAAGACAACCAGCTACCCCTTGCTTCAGGCACTTTGGCTGAGGCTGACGCAAAAATCTTACATTTGCGAACACTGTGACTGAAAATAAAAAATGAAAATTAAAGAAAACGTCGATCTCTGTCTTGAAAATACAACTTGTCTTTAATTCCATGGGTTTCATGCGACCATTACAAATCTTTATAGTTCACATAATTTTTCTAACAGCTCTTTTGTGTGCACATATGTGCTAATATTCTCACAGGCACATTTTCTATGTCAAGTGAACATTAACTCAATTTTTTTATGTAACTACAGTTTATTGATTGTAAAATCTGGCATGGATGTAAAGAAAGTTTTAGCACAGATGAATGGTTTACCAAAGAACAGCTCACAGTGGTATCTGACAGTTTTGAACAATAAAACCCTCCAAACACTGTTTTGCTCAGCAGCAGAACATCCCCAAACCCAGACTCTGTGATCAGTAACTGGAAAGGAACCTCGCACAGAACAGCGAACTGCAGACGGCTGGCAGAAAGGCAGAACCCAGGCTGTCCCACCGGATGGTTCAAGAGCTGACACAGGACACACAGTACAGGTGCATACTTAGATCAGTGCTTGATGACTTCATATTGTCACACAAATGCACAGCCCAGTATATCTCATCCATGTTTCAGACTAATCCCACAACTATGCTAAGCATTTCACCAGCAGCTATGCAACTAATGGAGACCTACTGCCCATTACTCAAATTACCTGGAAAAGGGTTTCTTCCTCTCTGCAAGTAATGCAGAGCGCAAGCGCACTGCAAATCACACAAAACAGAATGTATGAGCAGAACAGAAGGGAGGAATTTGCATTTTTCATAGAGATTTTAAATACTTTAACTAAAATTAAAATGCTATCCCTCACAGAGAAATGCTCGAGTTACTCACTGTTCCACATATACTTAAAATTTCCCTTGTACAATAAGCCACTCCCCAAACTGATGCTTTAGCAGGCAAGAACGCTCCTCTTAAAATTGTTCCACAAGCAACACCACCAGTGAAGGCTGGTTTCCTACACACCGGGTTTAAAGGAGGTGCAGCACGATGCTCCATTGACCCCTACAAAACACCTCCTCGCCCCCTGAGCAGCGCGTCCCCTTCATCTCCAGCTTCCTTCCACACCGTGGAAGTGCATCCTCCTCAGACTGCCTACCCAACTAATACTATTCCCAGTTTGCTTTCAGGACAGCAGCTACAACTGCACACACGCACACATTGGATAAGAGAAACCCTCTGCAGGCTGCCAGCAACCCAGCTGTCAATGGGAGACATCCTGTAGGTGCACAACTGTCAGTCTCCGTGCCCTGGGCTGAAAGAGGATGGGGAAAGAGACAAAATTAACTAACCTCTAAACAGGAAGATATGCATCTTGGCTCCTACCACAGAACAGGAAGGAAAGAGTAGACTAAAACAAAAAAATAAAGTCTAAGGATGGAAAAGAAGAGCTTGACAGCAAGCGAAACAAGTCAGACTCTTCAAACACAACAGTCTGCCTGTCCTTGCTGATTTACTGGCTTTCCTGCTCACAGGGCTGAAAGGACCAGCCTACCCGCTCTGCAGCCCACGCACGCAGCACAGCTCCTTACCAGCAACAACCGCCGTAAACACACGGAGCTCACCCCCTACCACCCAACCACCTGAACGAAGGTTGGAGGTTCAATCCCATACCTTCACAACAGCTTGCAGCTTAAACTCGCAACCCCTGAATTAATCAGCCATGCACTCACACCACGATGACAATTAACAGCATCACTCATGCACGTTACAGAATTCTCTATGATCAGGCTAAGGCAATGACTAAGGAGTGTGGCAATACCACAAGACGGCAAGAACCATCCTGCGTATCACCACCTTCTGACACAAACTCAACATTTCTTTCTTCCTCTTGCCTGTACTGTTATAGAGCAGAAGTACCTGCATAGGTCAATCTACCCAAAAAGCCTATCCTGTAACTTTTTTTTCCTGAAGCCGAGAACAGACACAACTTAGTAGAAAATACTGCTGTATTACACAGGTACTAAACTGCTGTCACACAGAGACAAACACACTTGCAACAGTACAGCAGCTAAAGCTAGAATGACAGCCCTACAGACCACAGAAGATGGAGATTTTCCACAAAGGCAGTAAAATCATTGTTCTCAACTAGCAATAAACACAGCAGACTTTCTTTTTGCTCTCATACACTTTTAAGACATTATTCTAAGATTATCTTCTCCCTCTGCCCTCTTCATGTTAGCTGTTGGTTAAGTCTACATCAGCCCAGGGAAAAGAAAATCAGGAGAGGGTACCACAAAAGAAAGAACACATATTGTCTAGAGGTCATATATTTATAAGATTAGACATGTCTGACCTACCTAATAACCTTATGGGCTTTTAGGTGATCAAGTTGCAAAAATGCCCAGAAGTATTTTTATCCTTCCCAACTTGCATTTGCCTTTCAGGCTACAAGCGCCTTCCGAGGACTGACCTCGCTGACTGCTCCCTACCTCCGGAAAAGTCTCACACGCTGCGTACTGCATCAGCGTACAGATGTACCCAGGACACGAAGGAGGCTGAAGCCTTCCTCTTCCCACACACTACCGCTATACAATGTGCATTTCCAGACACGTGATAAAGAAGTAACTTCACAGTTGCAAATATTTCCCCTGCCCAATCCAC